GCAGGCCTGTGCTGGAGGCTCTTCCATGGGCCGTGCGTGCGTGCGTGTGTGCGTGAGTGTGTTCCCACGTAGAAGGAAGGGGATGAGATCTCTGAGGCTGGAGCTGCTGGGTGGGAGCCAATCAGGACAGGTTTTCTGGAAAGCCTTCCTTTCACCCTTTCTTGCTGCACTCCTGGCTCTGGTCGCCTGCCCTGGGGCAGTGTCCTGCCCCAACTCCACTTTCTTCACCCTCCTCCTGGTGCCCTGTCCCAGGATCTGGATTGAGGAGAAGGGTAGATGGGGTGGGTGTGTATCAGGCTTGATGTCACTGAAGGACATCCCAGGAATTCTGTTCTTTCTCTCTGAATGGCCCTCTTGTCTGTGGGAAGGATTGGGGGAGCTTTATTTCTGTCTCAGCTTTGAGGATAAAACTCCCCTCCAAAGGCCGGGTGGCTTATCTCATGACAGCCTCTTGTCAGACATACTGAGCATTGCTTTCTCACCCCAAGGTCTTGCGTGGTGTTTTAAGATCCTGCCTTGGAGATGGCAGCAAGAGGGAGGAAAGAGGATTGGCGTGGGATCTGGAAGCTCAGCCTCAGCCGAGGGGCCGACTGGCCCCAAGTGTTTCAACACCCCCACCCCCATTCCCCCGACTTTGAATGACTGTATCAAGGGAGATGGAGGTATGTGTTGGAGGGTGGGGAGAAGGTAGAGAGACAAATGGAGAAATCCTCAAATGTGAAGAGTTCCTATTTCCTTTTGGATTGCTAGTTGGCTCTAGCATGGCTTCTGTGACTTTCACAGTGGAATATTCAGGTCGTAAGCTTGTTTTATTCTGACACTAGAATGCAACCCCCTACTAGAATGTAAACTCCCCAAGGCAGGACGGTCTGTAGCTGGACATCTCTTCCCAGCTCCGTGTTAGTGATGTTACCTTGATAGCTTGAACACAGCCATGGAGTATCTACACCATGGAAATTGATAAACACTACAAAGCCACGCTTTTTCTCTCCTGAGAGCTGGTTGCTAAACATTGACCCCCAGCTTCCAGTACAGAGTAAGCACTCAGCTATTCAAGGAATGAATAAATGAATGAAAAACCACCACCAAAAAAAGAAGGAAGAAGAGAAGCAGCGTTCTCTAAGTTCAGTTCAACAAACACCATGCGCCAGGTGCTGCGGGGAGCAAGTAGACATTTGTTTTCTGGGGTAGCCCGGTGTCTGAACTTCCCTCTGGGGAAACTGCCAATTCTTGTTTCCCACGTCCCCGCAGTGAGGGTACAGGTATGCTCCTGTTGGGGTTGGAGTCTACAAAGACCATTCAGGGCTTTTTCTGGGGGTAGCATGAGTCAGTGTGGCCTAAAAGTGGTGGTGGCAATAGTCCAGTGTCCAGCAGAATACGTCCTAACCAGAACTGCTCCTGGGCTGTGATCTACGACCTTGGCAGGGACTCCAACCCATTTCTGTGCCTCATTCTCCAGACTTCCTGTCAATTCCATGATCTCCCAATGTCCTTCCTCTAAGCAACTTTTCTGTTTCAGTTAACTAAGTCCTTTTCTGTGGTTTGCAACCAAGAACACTGTGTGTCAGTTCAGTTTAGATGTACAAGAGGTCTCTTGGGGGAGATGCCTGTGAAGATACATGGGGAGGGAGCAGGAGCAGGGAGATCCTTCAGAATGTGGTATAGACCTGAGAGGTGGCAGCTGGAGGCTGTGAATCAACCATGCTTCCAGCACCATCTCTCTTGAGGGCACCTGCAGGGTCGCCACAAACCTCTGGTACAGGGTACAATGATGAAAGAGACAGATCCCTGCCCTTGCAAAGTTCACAATTTAGAAGGAAAAAGAGAGACAAATGTGTCACTGCAGTAGTTCTAAAGTGTTAAGGCAAACCCCACATGGTGGGAGCACAGAGGAGTGTAAGGGGAGGCTTCCTGGAGGAGGTGCATCCCGGGAGCCCTGAGGCTCTTAGGGTTTTGCTCTCTTCTTTCCAGCTTTCCATCCCAACCCAGCCTCACAAAGAGATCTGGCCATTACTTCTTGGCCATGTCCCCGAATCTGCAATCTGCAGAGATGATGGAGATGTAGGGAATCCAGGATACAGGTGGAGGGAGCATGGGTCAGAAGGAACTACAGTAGTCCCCCCTTATCTGTGGTTTCGCTTTCCATGGTTTCAGTGGTTTCAGACCACAGTCAACATCGGTCTGAAACTATTACATGGAAAATTCCAGAAATAAACAATTCATGTTTTAAATGTCGTGCCATTTTGAGTAGCATGATGAAATCTCACGCCGTCCAGCTCTGTCCCGCTGGGGACTTGAATCATCCCTTCATTGGATTCCCAACCATCAACAACCATGCTCCTGACATCCAACCATCAACATGCTCAATGATCCTCCTTCTGACATATCATTGGAAGGTGAATAGTAGCCTAGCGCTACATCACGGTGCCTACGTCATTCACCTCACTTCATCTCATCACATAGGGATTGTATCATCTCCATCATCACAAGAAGAAAAAGGGTGAATACAACAAGATATTTTGAGAGAGAGAGACCACATTCATATAAATTTTATTTCAGTATATTGTTATAATTGTTCTATTAGTTATTGTTGTTAATCTCTTATTGTGCCTAATTTATAAATTAAACTTTATCATAGGTATGTATGTATAGAAAAAAATAGTATATATAGGGTTTGGTACTATCTGTGGTTTCGGGCATCCACTGGGGGTCTTGGATGGTCTCCCCCGTGGACAAGGGGGGACCACTGTAACTTTTACTGAGTACCCAGTAGGAGCTTTATAGAGGCCAGTTACTTCTCTACTCCCCTACCCTCTGTATGAGGCTCGAGTGAGCAAGTTGATGCGTAAGGAGGTGACATGATTTGCCGAAGTTCAACCAGCAGGTTCCCAACCCAGGTCTGTCTGCCTCCGAGGGCTGTGCTCCTTCTGCCACCCCAGGCTACCCCAGACCCCAAGTGTAAGGGGGTCTCTGGTGCAGCCAGTGAGTGGTGTAGGGCCAGTGCAGAGGGGAATTTACAATGGGAGAGAAGGTTTTATACTATTTCCTGGAATCTTCTTTCTAAACCAACATTTTTTTGGTACCTCAATTATGTTCTAGGCACTGTCTCATCACGTCCCTCTGAGGTAGCAGGTGAGGATGTCAGGCTTGAAGAGGAGAAATACTTGCCTTCACCAGTAACTGCTGCAGCCTGCTGGCGTGTCCAAGGCTGCCCTTTAATACCGTGTGCCGGTTCTTCCTTCCCACCCTCTGGGTCATCTTTGGGGTGGGGAGTAAGAAATCATGCGCCTGGGGGTCTGAGAAGAAGGGATCATGGGGAAAAAAAACAAAACAGGAACAGATCAGGAAGGTGCCTCGGCTGCCGACCCCCCTCGGCAGAAGCAGCTTCCTCCACTTTACAGGGGACCTTTGACCAACCTCAGAAAATTCCGGGCTGTTGGGGGCAGGGAGTGAGCCTTTCTGAATGGAAGGAACTATTTTTCCTTTTCTAGAGAGGTTTTGGGTAATTCCACTCCCTTTCCCTGCCAAGCTTTATCTTTGCCTAGGAATTCACACAAGTCCCCGGGGCTCCAGCTACACAGCTGCTACTTCTCTGCTCTTCGCTGACAGGTAAGAAACAGGCCAGATTTAAAATGCTGTGTGGTTTTTGTTTTTTTTTGTGAGGAAGATCAGCCCTGAGCTAACATCCATGCCAATCCTCCTCCTTTTTCCCCCAAAGCCCCAGTAGATAGTTGTATGTCACAGTTGCACATCCTTCTAGTTGCTGTGTGTGGGACGCCACCTCAGCATGGCCCCACAAGCGGTGCATCGGTGCGCGCCCGGGATCCAAACCTGGGCCGCTAGCAGCGGAGAGCGCACACTTAACCGCTAAGCCACAGGGCTGGCCCCTAAAATGCTTTGTTTTAATAAGCATTTTGTCTGAGCATCAGTGATGGCCCCCAGAGATGAGCTGCAGGAGCTGGGGGTCTGAAGAGGGGGTGAGCTCCCCACTGGTGACTTGTCTCTGCCCCAATGGAGGCCAGGGGAGAAATGACCAATGGCCAGCGTAGGCAAGGAGCTGAAGGCAGAAGAAGATAGGGGAAAGGGACGAGCCTCGTGACCTCCCCACCTCCCATGTGCCCCAGGGGCAGTGCTATTTTCCTGGGGATAGGTGAATTCCAGTTCCAAAAAAGGGATGGCAGGCAAGGAGTGCCTTGGTTGAGAAAAGGAAGGTCAACTAGGAAAGGAAATTAATCATATTTACTGAGCCCCTACCTTGATCCCAACTAGTGCCCTAGGCACAGGCCCTAGGATGCAAGATTTACGGTCAGGGACCTCACAGCTGAGTCAGGGAGACTCAGATTCCCAGGGCGATGCACCACAGACCTACAGCAGACAGGGACGGAGACAGAGGGGGCAGGGGGGCACCAACTCTGCCTGCTATGGTGTGGGGAAAGTGACTTTTGACCAGGGTCTTGAGGGAAGTAGGAATTTGCAAGGTAGAAGGGGTTTCCAGAGTGCATTCTAGGCAGTGGAAAAAGCTGACTGGGAGGTGGCAAACAGCAGCATGTGTGTGGAGAAACTTACCTGTGGCCAAAGTATAGAATTCAGGGGTGGAAGAGGAGCCGTCGGCGGGATACAGAGGTGTGTTGTACAGAGGTGTGTCGTATGTAAGGTGGGCGTGGAGCAGGGATGGCACAGAACTGGAAGGCTTGGGCACAGAGCAAATGGGACTGGAGAGATGTCTGGTGCCGGCCCAAGAGAGGAGAGACGGGGTGGGAGGACAAGCCACGCCTTGGCACAGACCTAAGGGGATGGAGGTCCTAGACATCACCAGTCACTGTGGGGCCTCTCCACGGGGGCACTGTCCTCCCGCTGGGATTGGGGATGGGTGTCAGCAGGGCTGGGTGGGGGAGATGGGGCGGGGAGGAAGTCAGCCAGCAGTGGGGAGAGTTAAGTCCAACCTCCGCGGGCGTTCCTGGTGGCAGGGCCGACCTCCCGGGCTCGGGCTCCGGCTGGGGCGGGCACCGACGGAGCGGCACTGCGGGCCTGCGCGCCCGGGAGCTCCCGCAGACAGGTAGGCAGGCGGAGGGACGGGAACCCGGCGGCCGGGCGCCCCATCCCGGGGCTGCTGCAGGAATTTTCCCCGACCCGTCTCGTAGGGAAAGCGGAGTCGGAAGGGCGGGGTGGGGCCCTGGAAGAGACCCCGCCTGCGGCTCTGCGCTCCGCCCCGCGCGCCCCGGGGCAGGGGGGGGAGGCCGCCGGCGGGAAGGAAGCGCCGGGAGCCGCGGGGGCCGGTGCCGGGCGGACGGACGCAACTCGGGCGGCCCCGCGCCGACACCTCCCACCTCCTCGGACCTTCCCTCCGTCGGCCGCCGCCCCGGCCGGGGCCCCGGAGACCGAGCGCGCCCCTCCCGGAGGTGCGGCTGGGGCTGTGGGCTTGGAGCGCCCGAGCCCCGGGTCCCCCGTCGGGGTCCGCACGTGCCCGGCCGCCACGGGCCTCGCTTCCCGGCGGGGGGTAGGGGGGTGGGTGGTGAGAGGCACGTGCCCGGGGTGGGGCGCCTCCCCGGGCGGGCCGGATGCGGGGAAGATCCTTGCAGGAGGGACGGACGGAGAAGGGTGTCATGCTGGCCTCGGCCACCCCCGCATCTGCCGGGGACCCCGAGGTCCTGTGTGCGGGCGGGGCGGCGCGGATCCCTCCCTCCGCGGGGACCCCCGGCGCCCACCCGCCCCCGGTAGCAGTTTTAAGTGAAGTTCTTTCCTCCTGTCCTTTCTTCAGTCTCTCCCTTAGTGATGCTCCCCACCGCCCCTAAAGGCAGTCTCTCCTTTAGAGAAGCGTCACCTGTCGTTTAGGTCCGGCACCAGCCCTAGAACGAGGCTCCGGCAGTAAGGCGGGCGTCCCCTCCCGCGCGCGGCTCTTCCAGGAGGTGCCTGCGCGGAGCCGGGGCGGCGGGGCCGCGGCGAGACAGCGCCCCATCTCTCACCCCCGCGGGCCCCAGGAACCTCTGATTTGACTGTGAAAATAACTAAATGAATCACCCTTGGTGCTTAATTAACAGAGCATGTACGTCGTTAAATGTGCTAGGTTACATTTTGCTGAATTTGGCTTACATAGGTTGTTTTATCCTTGTAAACTGGTCATTTTATTCTTAAAGAAAATTAAAGAGAACATTGGTAGAATACAGGTTTTTAAATTTAAGCATACAAGTCAGTACTTGTTTAATGTTCTGTACTGAACGGAGCACGTTGCTTATGTCGTTCTCCAACACGTATACACACGTGCACACACACACCAGACTGCACTCAGACACTCTGCACGCACACACCGAACTCCACACAGGCACTCTGTTCACACGCACACACTAAATTGCACTCGTGCACACAGTGCACTCACCCTGCATACTCACACACACTGCTAATTCACACACCACGCTGCACACACATACTGCTTGTGGGAGCTTGCTTGTGGAACCGCTGCAGCGGAGAAATGCTGGTTTGGGTTTGAAGGAAGATACAATTAACATTTTAAAAGCATTTGAGTTGAATTTTGAGAGTGTCTTCGGAGACTTGTTTTTTAATCTATTAACGAGTTTTTAAACAACTGGTGGAACGGCGAATCTCTCGCTGAATTAAAACAGTGAGTCTGATAGCTTTAATTCTGAACTCGCCGTCTTTCAACAAGGAAGCGTTTTTAATTGCCCTCTTTTTTTTTCTCTGAAGCCCTGAAAGAAGTTACTCTTGAACTTTTAGAAGCCAGTTGTACACGGGGCTTTTGTCCCCTGCGTATGTGATGGCACGGCCGCTGCCCCACGGCGTTCCCTCTGTCGCTCCGCGGCTCTCCGGGCCACTTGTGGGCCCCGCGGAGGGAGGGACCCGCCCGCACACGGGGCCTCAGGCTGGGCGGCGCCTGTCCCTGCCCCGCCCGCTCACCCCGGCCTCTCCCGCAGGCCGAGATGCGGCTGCTGCTGCTCGTGCCCCTGCTGCTGGCCCCGGCGCCCGGGTCCTTGGTGAGTGCGGCCCTGCCCGGCCCCGGGAGGACCTTGCTGGGGAGGTGGGGACGAGGGTCTCGGCGGGGAGGTTGCGCCGGCTTAGGACCCGGGAGGAGCCGCCCTGCCGCCGGCCGGAGCCCCTTGCCTGCTGGAGCCCCCCGGCGGCAGTGGCGACAGTGACATCCTCAGGAGAGGGCCAAGGACGGGGAAGATGGTGTGGGGGGAGGCGAGACCCTGCCCCACTCCCAGCTTTCAAAAAGGGGTGTGCCGGGCAGGTTGCGGGGGCACAGTGTGCAGGAATGGTGACTTCCCAGCGCCCTCCCCTTTCAGAAGGTGCTGGGTGCTCGGTAACGCTACAGAACCCCCTCCCTTGGGTGGTCTTCCAGGGCGGAAGGAGGGGCGCGGGCAATGCTGGCACCAGCCAAGGTGCAGCTAGGTGACCCGTCCCACCAGACGCCTGCTTGAGCCCAAACTCGGCTGCCCCTCAGCTGGGCTGTTTGCGCCCAGAGATTTGGGGTCCAGTCATTCCCCCCACGTGGGGTTAGCATCTCGAGTAGGCCTGTCCAATAGCACTTTCTGAGATGATAGACATGTTCTGTATCTGCGCTGTCCAATAAGATAGACACTGGGTTCATGTGGTTAGTGCTACTGAGGAACTGAGTTTTTTTATTTGATTTTAATTAACTTAGGTTAGCCACACGTAGCTAGTGGCTGCCGCATTAGTGCCAGTTTAGTGGACACCGGAAGCCAACTGGCAATCAGAGGAACTGTTTCATTAACAGGTGCCCAAGGGACGGGCTCCCTGGAGAACATACCTGGGTCGGGAGGATATACAGGGACTCTTCTAGGCCACAGGACTCACCTTGGGGAGGGGAGGGTCTGCAGAGCAGAGCCTGGTCTGGAGGCCACTCCTGCCAAGCTTCTCCTGTTGTGGACAGGATGGAGGGTGCAGAGGCAGCCAGGCCCTATCCTGCCCCTGGAGAGCTCTCCACACCGGCAGACCCTCAGCCCTGCCCAGCCCTCTGTGAGGCAAGGTGGCAGGGTCTGAGAGACCAAGGTCCAAAACTCTCTGCTGCTTGGGGAGGGCAGGGGCAATGCCCCTGTGGAGATGTGGGTCCAGGATGGGAAGGGCCACGAGGGGCAGGCAGGGATGGACGGTAGTGGTGGGCAGCGAGCGCTCCTCCAAAGCCCCACGGATCCAGCAGGGGCCACAGTCGGAGAAGTGGGCGGGCTAGAGTCCTCTTTCCTCCTGTCACCTCCACCACCTGCCAACTTCCCACGGTCACCTCTGCCACCCCATGGTCCTTGCTCCCTAAATGCCACACTCTGAGGTCCTTGGCACAGGCTTCCTCCTGGTGCCTGGCTGCATGAAGACAGCAGCTCAGGTGGAGGAGCCTTGGTGTCAGTGTCAATACCCCAGGATGAAATCCCAGAGCCACCCCTTAACAGCTGCGTGACCCTAAGCACTTCACCAGCCTTAGATTCCTTTAATTTGTGGTAATAACACCCATCCACAGGTTGCTGTGCAGATGAGATGAGTCAAGGTTCACAAAGTGCCCTGGTCCTTTGGGTGCTTTCTCCCTTAGAAACACCTGAGTACCTTCTCCTGCCTCCTCCTCCTCCACAGGTGTGAGCCTTGACGGTGCTGGGCCTGGCCAGGCTGAGAATCTCCTCCCACCATCCTGCATTGCTGGCGGGAGGGGTGCGGTCCTGGCTCACAGCTCGGTTGCCACCACCACATCCCCCAGCACTTCTCAGCACCATTCTCAGTGCTGACAGGGATCAGCTTGAACAGAAGGAGTAGATGATTAAGGATGAATAAAGCAGAGGTGCCCCTTGTTGCCCCCCGACCCCAGGCTGGTCAGGGGGAGGCTTCTTGAGGGGGCTTTTGGTCCCCTAGTCTCTGCTTCCATTCCTACCCGCACACACCCTCTCATACACACACACACACCCATGCACAGTAGGCAGCTGATCCCCCTGGGAACAGTGCAACAGGAAAGGGGGCTCCTGAGTTGCCACAGGTGGGAGTTGGAGGACTGGGTGAGGTGCTAAGAGCAGCAAGAGGCAGGTGAGGACAGGTCCAGGGTGAGGTAGACCAGACTAGCTCATTTTGGCTTCACACCATCCTGCAGCTTGTGGTGTGGGTAATTATAGACGAACAAAACTTGCCTGTGCTGCTCCTGGTTGAAGGTGCTTTCTTTCCTCAGAGAGACAGTGTGGAGTACTGGATGTCAACTTAGCAAATTCACCTATTTTATCCTCAAAATGAGTTTATTCAGGAATAGCCCAAAGAATTCAATTCAGGATGTGCATGCTATGGCACACCATAGGCAAATCTAGAAAACAAAGGAGGGGAGCTGCTTTTATAGAGAGAAAGGGGGAGTAGGGAGGGGCTGTTCTAAACTAAAGTCCATTGGGGGAAAGTAACAGTTCAGGGCGGCAACAGCTTCTCACTGCTGAGCTGTGATGTTTCTCATTGGCTGGGCTGTTGCCGAGTGGGGAGAGAAATCTTCCTTCAGTAGTAAAGTAGTTGTACTTCCTGTAGAAGATGCAAATGTCTGTCTCTTCCTGTTTGGTGTAATTGAGATGTATTCTAGGGCGGGAGAGCTCCCCCTACAGACGTTCCTGACTCCAGTTTAGTTAAGATTTCTTTTATTAATTTCAGCATTTTTCCCTGTTGATCAAGATCTTTCTCTGAAAGCATCACTGATTAACAGTCAGGTTCTCTGCACGTTGTGGTCTTGTCCCTTGGTGCCAGGAAAGACCTTTCCTAGTTGTCTTGTCTCACACTGGAGGCAAGGTGCATAGTGGTTGGAAACCACTTAGGCCACATTTGAGTAACAAGGAACGTTAGGAGAGAGAACTCTCAGGCATTTCTTATTCAAAGTCTATAGTTGTCTGAGGTCATAAGTATTGGAAATCATTTCAAATTGTTGAGCTAACATCACGTTATTGGGCACTTCATTTTCAGGGGTTCAACAAGCAATAGGTACAGAACTTCACAACAAGTATACAGGGTAAGATTAAGAGCAAACTATAAGCCCAGTTTGCAGGATAGTTCTAAACCAGGAACCCAGACCTGAAGGTAACCAGTTGAACAAATCAAAAGACAGTGGATTGTTAGGTGAAATTTGTTGTAGCCAATGTGCTTGCTCTCTAATCTTATGTAATTGGGTTTCCACTTCCCCAGAGGCATTTATCCATGTGCAACAGGAGGTGTTCGCCACTGCACAGACACCTCCTTGCTCAGCAAGTAGATAATCAAGAGCTTTACAATTATCCCAAATTACCTTGGCCAGTGAGTTAAGCAATCATGGCTGAGCTGAAGTTGCTTTGGCTGTGGAGTCGGCCAACTCTTCTATGTCAGGGAGAGATTCTCGATCATTTGTTTGTTCGCACTTGCTCCCATCCATGGGAAGAAAGCTGTTCCCATGGAGGCAAACCCAGAGTCACGTATGCCTCCTGGAAGTTCTTGTTGAGAGCAACTATGGAGAGTCAATGGGAGAGACCCGTGAGAGGTCTCTGGTTGTGCAGAGAGAACAGGACAGTGAATATGGCAAATGAGTTGTCAAGGCAACTGTCAAGGCAATGAGTTGCCCAAGCATAAAACAATACTAAAACATCCACAGATGAAGATGTAACCAGGGGTGTACATAAGGCTCCCACATAAGTGATATCATCTATAGACTCATTCGTTGGCATAGAGGCATTAGCATTATATAACCAAGGCTCAGATACTATGTTGTTACATACCAAGAGGTTGCCTAAATATATGGATATAACAAGAAATTTACAGATAGCCTGGGTTACACTGGCAGCCCCACAGAATTTTTCATACAAATATTCAAAATATCTTGTTTTTCCCTCCCAAGGCTGGGTTAAATTAAAGCAAAGAACAGGTTTAGTTGAGCTTACTACCCCAAGTCGTTACACTGGGCCAGCAGAGCAATTTAGACAAACAACAGCATCTAGAATCCCAGTGAAATTACTTATAGGGTGATCTGTCTTGGACAGATCGAGGTTTCTGACGGCAAATTCAGCAGTCGGAGAGGTTTCCCCTTTTGCAAGGGATTGGGAAACGTAAACAAGGGCATTGTCCTTTTAGGAAAGGGAGGGAGAAAATAAAAGTAAGAAACAACAGTGGGAAGAGGGTATATGGCCCTGGTCCAGTCATCTTGGGGAAGCCGTCTGCCTCAGAGGCCAGCTGCTTCTCTTCCTGGTCAGTGTGCTCTGGAGGTCCCCAGTGTTGGTTCAGGACCAGCTGTCAGGTGGAGTCTTCTTTAGTTGTGAGATGTGTACCCAAGGCTCGAGTCTCTGAAGTTTGGCTGCCATCTGGGTAGTGAGAATGGCCTAGTATATTCCCTTCCAAGGAGATTTCAAGGACAGTAAAATTAGAAATGTCAGTTTGGAATATCATATCCAGACATTTAAGGAAACTAGAAAAATTTAGGATCCAGTCCATCTTATAGGTGTAACAAAACCTTAAAGACAATTAATAGGACTAGAATTTAGTATCTACAAAGGTGCAAACACAATTTCTCTATCCACAATAACCCCCATTTTTTAAATAATCATAGTAAAACTAATTTGTTTGTCTTAAACTTGGCCTGATTATTTATATAAATACAGCAGGAATAGTGATTGACCACATAAGCTTTTTTTGAAAGATTGGTTTGCTGAAACCTTGTAAGCAAGGTACTAGGCCGATTTTTCAAGCAGTTTCTTAAAGCTGTCTGGTCATATCTGAGTCTATGTACTTCTTTCTTGAATATAACATTCTAGTCAAAGCCTTGGTAATGTAGCCAATATTTCCAATTGTCGTGTGTTGCAAGAACAGACCTCCAATGAACCCATGCGAATACATATATTGTCATGAAAAGAATACTTACGAGTTTCAAAATTCGGGAAGGATCAGGTAGAGAGAAAAAGAGAAATGTTTCAACCCTTGTTGCAAAGGTACACTTTACCAAATTGCTGTAAGTTATAGATAGCTTAAAGGAAAGGAGAAAAGGAGGTCC